ATATAATTTATTCGTTTTTTTGTTTTATGGACTATTGTCAGGGTTAGGTTTATTGTTAAGGTTGTTTTGTTTTCTTTGCTATACGTCAGCTATGAGTAATAAATTATATTACATAGGAGATGAGCCAGAAGTTAGGCCAACAACATGAGCACGGCACTGATTCAGATACGGAAAGTGAGGAAGAAGATGATCTTGAATAGTTAGCAAGACATTCACTACCAGGTCGGGAAGAGCATGACGTGTATTTGTGCGTCTGGCCTGGATCTATGATCTATGAGGTCGGTCAGCGAACACCGGAGTTAACAGTAAGCTTTTAAATTTGCTAACGTCGCTTACTCATTTTAACTACTTTGGTAATATTGATTCTGTTCTTTCCTATATTATGTTCTGTTACTTAAAAATCATACCCGACATACTAGTGACGGAGTTAATGTGAATTTATGCAATTTATACCTTGATATTAGTATAGTTAACTGAGAATTGACGAGCGTCCCTGCAATTTTTTTTTAAGGAATACCCCCCAACCCCCGTGGAAGTTTAATGACAGGGGTGTTAGACAGTATTTCTGGGCCGGCAGGTTTACATTCCGACCATTGTAATGCGTACCATATTCTCCCACATTCACGCAACAAAGTTATTAGCACATTTTGCCCTGAAATTAAGATTGCGGCTCTACCTAAGCAAAATTCATGCAATGAAAGCCCCTAAGTAGCAGCTTGACACGCACACAATTTAAAGGTATATTTGGCAGATAAAATTTAGGAAAATATCTTGAAATTTGGGTTTCGGGAATTCTTGGGAGTTTAAAGAATTAAGTCCGCTTTATTGTGAAAGACCCTTGGGTTAAGGACAGGACATCTGATATATTTGTTTTTTTTTCTTATTTCATCAGCGGGCGAAGAGGGGCCTTTATTTTAAACAAGATTTTGTAGACTACTGGTTTTGCAAAGTTTAAAGCTGAACGAAAGAGACCGTTTGTGAATCAGAGAGGCTCTAGTTTCTTTGTCAACCGCGGAAATAATTTTTCAATTCCTTCATTAAGATTTTGACTTACGTGCAGTCACAGAAGATAAACAAAATAAATGTTTTACAAAGCTATTTTTAAGACCCTTAATCCTTCTAAACTGTCGCTTTTGTCGGCGGTATGCTCGCGGAGTGGCCTTTTTGAGACTTTACATGTGCTTAGACCTTCTAAGCATTACCGTATAATAACATGTTTCCCTAAATGTAAATATGGTAGGTATAGGTTAAAAAGCAGGAGAGATTTCACAACGCGTACCTGGTTAAATGTCGGTAGGACGTATTTTCCTCTATTTGACTTTAAACGCCATAGATTTTTATGGAGATTATAGAGACATCACTGAAGGGGAGTGGGGAAACTTCCATGTGAAGCTAAGGGGGCCGAAATAAAGCGCCAAAGGAGTCTAATACTGGGCGTAGTTCAGGTTCAGTGTTTGACCCTAGACAACCAAATTAGAACTGTATGCGATGAAGCCGTTGTTATTGATCGCTTTCTTCTTTTTCTTTTTGTCTTCTGCTCTCTTGATTTCTTCAAGCACAGCCTTAAGCCTTAAGCGGCTAAAAAATATTGGCTAGAAGTTGCGGTCTATCATATAATGATTAGTTGCTTAACTATTCATTTTTTTGCTAATGTTTACGAAAGGCATGTACCTCTGTTTGCCTTATTCGTTTCTGGTTAAAGTCATAATATTTTCAGTCTGTGAATGAAATCCAGTGACGTAAACAATGAGTTCAAATCTCTTTGGCAGTACTTTGACCTTATCCTGTTTGTTTTTCAGTATTTTTAGGTGTGGCTTAAAAGGCGACACCTAAGATTAAATGGAGACGTAGGGTCGCCGATCCAATAGTTTTCTCGGGTTTTCTTCTCAGATTAGTAGATCTCGCCTGCTATTTCCGCATGAAGTAGAAATCTAAGATTAGACAGGAAACTTTTCATAACGCCTAATATCTAATCTCATAACAACCAACTGCACTTCAACAATAGCGACGACTTGTTTGGTCACTCACGTTCATTACAGTCTCAGTGTTTTGAAAGCCTACCAAGCCTTGCAAGCGTTCGACGCCGTTACTATTCTTTTTGCGAATATTGGCTTCGACACCTTTCCATCGCAAAGTGACTTTGGTAAGACAATCGTCTTTATATAATGACATTCAAAAGATTTGACCTTAGAACTTAATTAGGGCCCTGCACTCGGAGGATCTTCTTGGGTATCAGAATTTTTTGTAGATCAATATTTAACATGAAAATGCATCTGCAGCTAGCTTGTATGACTGTACATAATACGCATTCTTAACTTCTTGTAACAATCTGAAACTTCACCTTAAATCAGCCTGAAGTTCGAAAAACGCAGAGACCCTTCAAATTGAGCAATCCAAAAAATGATCAGGTATTGCTGTATTGTCGAGCTCTGCCCCCGCACTGATGGGTATCACTTTTATGAACAGAAACTTAGGGTTACGCCTTCGGTATTCTGGGATATTAAAACTCGAAAACGTACCTCTGGCAGTCACTTTGAAATTTATTAATACAAAATAATCCGAGAAGCAATTTTTTTTCTTTGTTTACAAGATGATGTTTTGATATTCACTAGTCCTCTTCCAGGCATTGGAGCCATGTCTAAATCGGGCCTGTGAATCTACTAGAGTAGCTTTTCCATCCACTAAGTAATCTTGCAAAGACTTACTTATTTGATTGTAAATTGTAAATATCTTATTACCGGTATATCCACTCCCCTCAGGGCTTTTCAGGGATAATTTACAACACTGGTTGGGGGACTTTGCCAGACTGCTTAAGGTGCAGTTTACAAGTAATGAAGGAATGAGTAATGATGCCCCTATACATGAGTGTGAAAGTGAGATAGACCACTACACCCGGCCCTACGTGCCCTACTCTTTATGAAGAGTGTGTGGGTTCTTTAACGTCCCACAGCTTTATTACATGTGCAAGGGCTTGTGAGACGGGGCCTACGGTTTATCGTCCTTATCCGAGATTACGTAAGGGATTACGAATCAACCTACATCCTTAGGGATCGTTTGCAACATTTTTGTCACTGGGGAACGCAAATGCGTATTTTTTTACGATTTTACTCAAGGGCGGATTTAAAGGGGGACAGTGGACTCCCCGCCCTGATATTGAGTCAAATTTTGCTAAATTGTCAGCAAAACCTTTCTTCAGTACAGCATTTAATTTTTGGGCTTCTGGATCAGGCACCCGGGTGGGTGCCTGGTTGGGCGCACGAGAAATATGCCGACCATCGATTTACTCGGTTTCTCGTGCTTCGCCTACATACTCCATTTCGACTGATGGCTGAGGAGACCTTTCCCATCCCTACTTGAAAATCATTACCATCAATATTAAACTAAGATTTAAGGACCATCACAAAACTTTTCAAGGGACGATTATTTTTGTTACCGGTCTTTCTGCAGCATGTGCAGTGTGTTTCACTGTACAGTCAAACGCCGTTAATACGGGAAGTAAGGGGACCATAGAAGGTGTCTGTATTAACGGGATGTCCGTATTAAGCGGGTTGACTTTAGAGAAAATGTAAGGGCTTTCTTTCTCCAAGGACAACGAAAACTGTCCGTAATAATGAGGTGTCTGTATTGAGCGGGGTTTGACTGTAATTATCTTTCATAGCCTATTTTACAGTTGTCAGCTGAGTTGTGTACTTGATGAGTGGAAGAGAGGTAGACGCTGACTTTGTTTTGGTACAAACCATCCTGCTTTTCAGTTCAGTTTATTTCCCTCAATATTTTGACTACCTTATGCTAGGTTACAGACTTGGCAGGTTACTGGAAAATGTTGCTATAGAACTGATATGAAAGTTTGGGTATGATTGCTAAGTGTACCATTAGGTTTTCTAGTTGGCCGCCATAATACCAATTACGTTGAAAGCAAATACAGGCAATGAACCAGAAAGAGCAAAATTAAATAAATAAATAAGAGCTTAATAATAGAAAAGAAAAGAAACAATTAATAACATTTAAATGAAAATACAACAGATATCATATAATGAATACAAATGTAGTCTTGTTCTCGATCATTCTAGGTTGCCACTTCTAGATTTGAAAAGCATTAAGGTTTGTAAATGTAAAAAAGTCAACTCCAGCCTCGCCTTCACTCAAAGGCAGATCAGAAAATACACAACTATGGAATGGCTATTTCTTGAAGCTTCATCTTGATTTCATCCGCCTCGCTTTTTATTTGCATTTATTGATGTTACTATCGTCACGCAGTTTTGGCTGTGGGCCATCAGAGAGAAATGTAAAAAATAGAGGGGATCCGGTACAGGTGAAAGGCTAAAAACCTTTGAATGCAGAGGTCCACTCAACGCGTAAATAAAACCGATTGGTTCTTTCTTGCCAGATCTCTAATGTAGAGATGCTAATATAATGCCAGACGTCACTTGAAGAGGGAATTAAAACAAAACTGTATGCAAGCCTTCCTCAGGGCCAGAGATACACTGAAAGGGAATACTATATAACGGCTCCTAAAATTTGTACAATTATTTACATAGCTATCATTACGTTATCTATTATTTTCATTTTTAGTTAGTCATTAACCTCTCATAGTCAAATCTAAGGAGCCGTTACAGTATTCTCTTTCAGTGTAGCTCTAGCCCTGAGGATGGCTAATTTTGTTAGCTGAAATATTGGCCTCAAATAAATTAGCCCTTTGCCGTATTATATTGTTTTAGTTGAAAGAGGTTTTAATGTCCACGGTTATGATGTAATTATTGTCTGTTATATTGAATCCGATTCACAATGAGATGATTCAGAAATGGATGTAAAGACTGATCAGGTGGTGGTTTAGAGCTTAACATAAATTTTTGTACGTTTTCAGCCCTCCTCACCTCCTCCTGACAATTACTGCACAGACCCTAATTAGATATTAAGGTCATCCGAATAATTGAATCAAAGATCTATCAACTCTTTAACAGCTATCGTGTTCATAGGCGCCGCTCTCATAAAAGCTGTAAATGCTCAGATCGAAAACGTTTAATCAGCATATTAACGATGCTCTAGCGGGTACTAAGGCATTTCTCCTTTCACATTATAGCATCATGGAAGAACACAAATTCACAACGTTTTTCGAGCCTTTCAGGATCAAATCCATAGAGAAACTAAAAACAACAACACGAGACGAACGAATGAAGTATCTAAAACAGGCTAATTACAACTTGTATCTCTTGGACTCGGACAACATCTTGATTGACCTGCTAACAGACTCGGGGACTGGAGCGATGAGTTCGGAACAGTGGGCTGCGGTTATGATTGGAGATGAGTCGTATGCCGGCTCTCCGAGTTACCGGAAGTTTGAAGCTGTGGTCGAGGAGATCTTTGGATACCGTCACGTGATCCCTACGCACCAAGGGCGCGCGGCAGAGCGCATTCTTTTCAGGTGCGCGGTGAAAGAAGACAATGTCGTTCCAAACAACGCACATTTTGCGACAACCATGGCGAACATCGAAGCTCAAGGTGCAAAGGCGATTAATTTTTTGACTCCTGAGGCTATGGAACCCAGTAGAGATGTGCCATTTAAAGGAAATATGAACATCGAAAAGCTGAAACAGACAATCGCAAAGTGTCGAGATAAAATTCCTCTTGTTATGATAACCATTACAAATAATATGGTGGGCGGTGAGCCAGTCAGCATGGAGAATATAAAGGCGGTGTCTAAAATTTGTCGCGCATACGGTATTCCGTTGTTTTTTGATGCCTGCCGCTTCGCTGAAAATGCTTGGTTCATAAAGATCAAAGAAGAGGGTTATGCGAACCGCACACCGAAAGAAATCGCGCGAGAGATTTTCTCTTACGGCGATGGCTGCACTATGTCGGCGAAGAAGGATGGCCTGGCCAACATCGGTGGATTCTTGGCAGTCAATGACGAAGAGCTTGCTGCAAAATGCCGCAAGGAGCTGCTGATAACCGAAGGTTTCACCACTTATGGGGGCTTAGCAGGACGCGACTTGGAAGCGATTGCAGTAGGTTTGAATGAAGTGGTTGAAGAAGATTACCTGCGCTACCAAATCGGATATGTTAAGTTCCTGGCGGATTTACTCGTCCAGAACCACGTGCCTATTGTGACCCCACCCGGTGGTCATGCGGTGTACATCGATGCAGGCGCAATGCTTCCGCACATTCCCCGTGAACAGTTCCCCGCGTGGGCTCTTGGCTGCGCACTTTACGTGGAAGGAGGTATCCGCGGGGCGGAAGTTGGTGCGGTGATGTTAGGAAGTCACGAGAAGCAGGAAACGGAAAATTCGGAAAATGGAAATGGCGTTGATGAAGGCGCCTTTGGAGACGATCATGAACACGAAGAATTGTTTCGCCTGGCTATTCCCCGCCGTACATACACTGAGTCTCATTTAAGGTAAAGGCTTATACTTTTATAGCCTGCGAGCAAGGTCTCTAATAACCGCGAGCAAAGCGAGCCAAGAGAGAACGCGCGAGCGAGCGGCGACGCCGCCAAAGGCGGAGGAAAAAGATGCGTGGTGTGATTTCTCTTTCCCCGCCCCTCTCACTGGCTTTCCTTGCGCATGCGCCTCTCGAGTAACTTCTGGCAACTCTTTCAAATGGAGAGCTCGCTCACAGGCTCATACAGTAATGGTTTAAAAAAGTTTGCTGGTGTAATCATATACTCAGTACTTACTGACGTACTAAATTAACTACTATAACAATTCATTAAAATAAGGAGTCACTCTTTAAGATGAAAAACATAAAAAAATTAACAATTAGTTCATGCGTCAGCGTGCGTATGTCGAGATATTGAGCACGCGGGAGGTTTGGAGAGCACGAAAGAGGCGTAAGAGTTGCACGAGGCGCAGCCGAGTGCAACTCTAGACTCTTGAGTGCTCTCCAAACTTCCCAAGTGCTCAATATCTCGACATACGCACAGCTGCAGCATGAACTAATTGTTTTATAACATTATCAAAGCGATCAATGCAGCAGTTAACTTAAAATTTTATTATTGTAGGGCGCGCTCAAAGCAGTACGCGTCAATGTTTACGTGACTATATTTTTTTTTCCTCACAGTTAATCTTATGTTTTTATCCTGAAACTGAGAGAAAGTGTACTCTAAAATGATTGTAAAATCCATATTTAGGTGCCGGAAAACTATTAATTTACCGAAAAATTGTTATTGATAGAAAACAACTTTGCAAAGAAAGATCTCAAGCGATAGCCCGCACAGCTCGCCGAGATGACAACAACAACAACAACACTCACCTCTTTTCCTTACTATCGATTAACAAATTCAAACGTTTCCTCTTAAATTTCCTTATCAAACACATGGTAAACGCTTCATTGTCTATTGCTGAGTTATGGATGCACTCAGAAGACTCAGGATTGCTAAGCTCACAACAACTCGAGGAATTACGAATAGTTTATTGACGTCATCAGCGTGCTCAATAGGAATATGAAGCACGCTCGCGCTATTGAATTTGATTAGGCGAATTTTCTAGCTATGTTATAAAGAAAATTAAAGATTAAAAATTTAACAAGTATATCTATTTACATCGACCGAGTTTTTTTAATGATTACGACTAGCTTTCCAGCTATTTGCGGGGAAAGCTATTTATACTTGCATGCACTATAGCTAGTGCATGCAAGAATACAATTGTAGTTGTTGTTGTTGTTTTTGTTTACTTTTTTTATTCTAGGCGTAATAGTTTGCCAGGAATGTTTACCAGTAAAGTCAAAATTAAAGCTTATACACCTTATTCCAACTGAAATGCTGATAATTGACCCTCGATGTCTTGTTCCGAAGTAAAAGTTTCGTTCCCAGGGTCTCCTTGGGAACGAGGTAAAATCTTCCCCAGGGCTTTTCCCCTTAGTCGGGAACAAGGTTTTGAGGATAGAGCGAATGAGAGCTGTACCAAAACCTAAAACGCGCATTAAGGGGCATTTTTTGTGTTGACTAGACCTATGATTTCTTGACATTTACTGCTACTGCTGTTGTGCTTGTACAAGTTTCTTTTCTAATTGCTCTATTAACATTTAACATTTCCTAGATGTTGATAGACTTTTAACTACATTCCGCGTACATCTTTCCTACAGGTATGTCGCTGAAGTCTGTGCGCATGTGTACAAGAACCGTGCAAAGGTTTGTGGTTACCAAATCACGTGGGAGCCACCTATGTTACGTCACTTCACTGCCCACCTGGAGCCTCTTCCTCTCCCATTTAAAGCACCCGAAGAATCCACTCAAGTTAGCAATCGACCAACCAGAAAAGTGTCCACGGGTCAGGGATTAAGGCGAAGAAAGAATTCCTTGATGCAATTTAGTTGAGGTCAAAACGAAGCCGAATCAACCGAGCCTTGAAAGATTTTTCCATTCTCTATTACCAATATTTTTGTGTGTGAGTAGTAACACAATGGTATCGATATTCTTTTACAACCTGTAACATGCATAAAGAACTTACAAAGAGAATGAGCGTAGGCTTTCTTGACACACGATTTTAATTCGGTATTTTTTCGATGGACCAATTTCGATTTATTAAAATTCATTCTTAGCCTGTTCCAGGCGTTTAGATCATGAGGACTGCGCAAAGAGATGTGAGCAGGAAAAAAAAAACAGCGAGGAGGTGGGGTAGGGGGTGAGAGCAAAGGAAGTTCCCTCCCCTCTTCCTCTTCCCCCACCTCTCTCTCCCTTATTTCTTTTTATCGATCTCTTACTTTTGCGCCGCACTCTACTATCTGAATGTCTGGAACAGGCTAATTCATACTTTGCTGCAAGGTTTCGAGGAATAAAACAAAAGAAATCGTCTTGGGGCTCGGGAATGAATAACATATTTCTTTTCTTTTCCCCCTAAGTCTTGGAGCCAAGTAATATATCGAAATTGGTCTTTACCCAGTCATTGTTATGTTGTCCATCCATTTGATGACAATGGTCCCAGAAATCTTTTAGCCCGCGAAAGCTCATACCGATTCTGCTGACGCTGTTAGAAGTAGCAACTAATGTCTAACATTTACCATTTCATCTTTTCTGGTGGGAATTAGCCCAGCGAGTTTTATAGTACGTTCAGAAAAGTAGGGAGGTCTAACAGTTATAATTTTGTAACACTTTAGTCCCGTTTATTGCATTTTCTCCATTCTCTTTATTTTGTCCTTATATCGTAGTATTGTTATATCTACCCTTATGGTTTCGAGTTTTTCTTGGTTATTCTACACTGAAATTTTTATTGAAGATTTTAAAAGAAGTTGTTGGCCTAATTTAGCAGCCTATTTAGTGTTGACCAAGACTAGCCTGCAGGCGTTTAAAAGGTACGGAGAAAGAGAACGCTAAAAGGAAAAGGGAGAAGTGAATGTATTCCACTGCTTTTCATAGGGTCAAGCAAAGGCGTTTTTAAGCATCGTTCTTCAGCTGGGAGTGGACTGTTTGCATTAGATTTCGACGAAACCATCTCTGCAAGACTTAAGATAAATTTGATAGCGCCACTCACGCTGACGTCATCCGTTGCTATAAATGTACCAACCAGAAGCGCATTGGCTCTTGTAATAAGACTCATTTTGTTTGATACACCCGTTATATCTGTGAATAACAAAAAGCGGGAAAACGGAAAAAGTCTCAATTCTTGTTCACGTGCGTAGCCCAAAAGCGCCTCTGCTGAAGTTTCCTAATTCATGAAACAGAGATCAGTAAGGCTATAAAGTTATGGGGTTTGAGTTAAATAGGGCCTAGGTATCTAGTGAAACATTTAAACAATAATATTCCTCTAAAGAATCCTGGGTCTAGCGGTGATAACCTTCCTTCTGTATTGGAATATAAACTCAAGATCTATGGTTGCAAGCCGACTGTTTTCTGTTGCCGCTCCTAGATTATGAACATTATGAACAGTGTACTAGATGAATTTAAAACAAAGCTCAAGTCACATCTATATAGGACTGCTTATCATAACGTTTGAATCATTTTTATCTTTTTAATGAGTGGAATTCACGTGTAACTACCCAGATCTAAGTAGAGCTTCTGATTGGTTGAAGCAAATTTCCCATGCAGTACGACCACTCAGAAGCACTACCCAGAACTGGTTAATGTCGCGCCATCAGTCCCAGGGGGAGAGGGGAGGGGGGTACTCCGGATTTCAAGTGACAGGGAAGATCGCAGGATTTTTGGGGGGTTTGAAATTTTCGATTGCGGGATTTTTTGCTCAGGAAAATTTTGGCAAGTATTTTTGGAGTAGCTTGATTTAAGTAGGGAGTTTTTTGGGTATTCAAAACAATCTGAAGATTCGTGATGGTTCCCTCGTATCCGGGCTGCGTAGTTCCCCTGGAAATTTTTATGGCTCGGAAATTCGGCATGCGATTTTTTGGGGGTTAAGGTTTGGTCCACGGAATTTTGGGGGTTTTGTTTCAAGCCCTATGCCCCATTCGATCACCCCTGTTATTTGAAATCCGGAGTACCCCCGGGCCATCAGAATGGAATGGTGGAATATCTGCGCTCGTTTCACAGACGTCATTTCGCGTGGAAACAAGGTGTAACAAGAGGTGGCGTCGACAGTGAGACACAAACCAGTCTTAACCAGGCCAGATAGGAAAAAGGGGCTCAGTACAAATTGTTAAGTTTTACAAACATTCTGCAAACTACGATAATTAGAGGAACTTTGGGAAACCTTTTACAAGCAAAAAAAATTCCAGCAGCTTTTATCGTTCTTGGTGAAACTTTTTCAGGAAATTTGCATATTTTTCTCCTCTCTGCTGTAATCTAGGTGCTATACGAACTGATATGATGGTCGACGGAAGGACATTCCACGCATGCGCGGTGCAAAGTCCTCGATTTCGTCAATTTCGTCATCCTTTTCCTCCTGAACGGGAATGGGAAGGGGCTCTAGATGAGCACTGAAGTGACGTAATACAGCAGGCGCCCACGTGATCTTATATCCGCTGACCATCTTCTTCTTAGTATTAACATACTCCAAGACTTCAGCGACATATCTATAAAGTGATCAACCGTTTAGATATCAATAGAGTTATCCCTCGAGCCCATAGCTCGGAGCGCCAATGCTATGTACCATTTTCAGGTCTGTAAGTTTTGCAGACTGGTTTGTGAGACTAAAAAGATTTTCTTAATTCTCACCAAAATTTGTCTGAAAATAAACTGTTCAGTGAAAACGCCTTGACACGTGTGTATGAAAACATAAAACCCCTAAAGTTTCTTTGTCCAAAGGTCCAACGAGGTTAAAGGCGAGCATTGGTAGGGGTTTTGATGGGTAACGCATGGATGGATGATTACAGATTAAATAAACAGTTATGAAAATAGTCATAAAAGTATTACTGAGAAACAAGAGAAAGAAGGTACGACTTGAAATATGGCGTTGATTTTGTCATAAACAGCCCTTTTTCACCCATTTGTAGGTTTCAAACTCGTAGATAACGAAAATAGGAGAAATCTTTTAAAATCTTCTCGAATTCTCGAATTAAAACGATTAAATCTGATACTTACTTCATGTGTGATTCTGTATATGTCCGGCGTGGAATGGCAAGACGGAGAAGTTCCGCCCTGTCTGCTTCAAATTCGTTGCCATCCTCTGGTAATTCAGGATCTTTCCCATGCATCACCCCACCTAACTCACCACAACGAATTCCACCTATGACGAAAAGACCTTCTTATAAATATACATAAAATTTAAAAGGCTTATTAACCAATATCTTAGTTTACATTCCAAATTATATCATAGGATCATAGAGCTCGTGTGAAAACAAACCTAGCTTAGTATGTTAATTTTCTTTCCCAAAAATAATATTCTCTTTTTTAAGCGGGATTTTCCCGCCACTCTTTTTAACCAGGGGCGTAACTAGGAATTTCCAAGAGGTGCGCACATTTTTCTGAATCCCCTGCACCCTTTCTCTAAAATCGTCTTGACGCGGAAAGCAGCAGTTAATTATTATAATAAAGCCTTCGAGTGTTGCAAAAACGAGGAAATACGCTGAATTTTGTTTTGAACAATTATTTCTAAACGGTGTAAACAGATAAACCAGGGTTACACAGTCGATGGCTTCCTTTTTAAAATTGCTTATCTGCCGTATGTATGTTGCTTTGATCTTCAGTTTTGTTTCTGTTTTTACTAACCATCGACATTTTTTCGTAGTTTTTTATACGCATGCGCCCACTGACGCACAGATAGCCTTCCCATGATGACCGTTATTTTTTCTTTTCCTGGACCCACCGACCCACCAAATGGCCGTTTTTATACTAAAGCCCCATTATCCGTCTTAACGAACTTGGGCAAAAATTTGTAGCTCGTCTTGTTATACGTCATGAGTATAAAGACGGGTACAAGACGCATTATGAGTCTAGACGAACTATCCTTCGTCCTTTTAGTGTATAGATAATATCATACCTTCCACATATAGCGCACATCCCAAGGCCCAAGCAGGAAACTGTTCTTTAGGGATGTGAGATAACATTGCGGCAGCATCGATGTAAACTGCATGTCCCCCAGGGGGAGTCAACACGGGGATATTGCGATCTTTCAACATATCTGCCAGCAATTTGACAAAACCCACTTGGTATCTGAGATAGTCCTCGTTAAGCACCTCGCGAAATCCAACAGCCATGGCCTCAAGGTCTCTTCCGGCGAGTCCTCCATAGGTTAGAAACCCCTCGGATATGACAAGTTCCCTCCGGCACTTCTCCGCGAGTTCTTCGTTGTTCATTGCAAGGAATCCACCGATATTTACGAGACCGTCTTTTTTTGCAGACATGGTACAGCCGTCAGCGTACGAGAACATCTCGCGCGCAATTTGAAGGGGCGTTCGATGCGCGTAGCCCTCCTCGCGTGCTTTAATAAACCACGCGTTCTCCGCGAAACGGCACGCGTCCAGGAAGAATGGGACTCCATGTTGTTGACAGAGCTTGGAAACCAGTTTGATATTCTCCATACTGACTGGTTCTCCACCAACAGCGTTGTTAGTTACAGTGATCATCACCATAGAGACCCTACCTTTCTGTTCCTCTGACAACAACTCTTTCAGTTTGCTAAGGTCGATGTTCCCCTTAAAAAGAGCCTTCTTGTTTTGTTCCATTGCCTCGGGAATTGGAAGATTCACAGGCTTGCCTCCATGTTTTAGAACATTAGCCTGTGTGGTGTCAAAATGCGCGTTGCTGGGCACCACGTCACCTTTCTCAACACTGCACTGAAACAAAATGCGCTCAGCAGCCCGGCCTTGGTGCGTGGGAATCACGTGCCGGAAGCCACAAATGTCTTTGACAACTTGCTCAAACTTCCGGTAGCTCAAAGAACCAGCGTACGATTCATCGCCTTTCATTATGACAGCCCATTGGTCAGCACTCATTGCACCAGTCCCCGAATCTGTTAGCAAGTCAATGGTTATATCTTCCGAATTCAACAAGAATGGATTGTAGTTCGCTTCTTGAAGTCGTTGAATTCTTTGAGCTCTGGTTGTGCGCTTGATTTTCTCAACCGTTTTTATCCGGAATGGCTCAAAAAATGTTTGAAAACGATGTTCCCACTCCATTACTGGTAAGATCTACAGGCAGAAAAATAATACCTCAAAATATTGTAAGTGATAATCAGTGAGCTTAATCTTTTTGGCGGGCGAAGGAGACAATATATGGTCGATAAATGAAATTCTTAATGTAACAATGTCTAGATGTCACGGTTTTAGGGTTTGACTAAAAGACCTGAAACCGTTATCTCGCTCTTTTTAATCCCAGCCTTAGTAAAAAGCTTTTAAAAACAACTAAAAGAAGGCTAAACGAAGAGAGTCACCGCTAGGAAAATGCTGTACTGAGCACATAGAGGTGATGAGCCAAACGACTGACCGATGACCACGCCCGCGCTCCTTGTTGTTAACTGTGTTTAATAATTATTTTAGTTAACTTCATTATAAATTAGGCCTGCATGTCTTTGAAGCTCTACTTAGTTTCCAGTCTTAGAACCTCGGATGATTGTTCCACCTCCATTAAAAAAGTCACGAGATTGCTACAAGTGGAAAGCTTGTATTTGACTGCTCAAGATTGGTCACTGAGAGTTACCAACCCCCTACCAGGGCGAGAAATTGAATAGGGTCATTGCGTCATAAACATATATTGCCGCTTGATTTTCTCTTTGAGGAAGGAAGAGGAAGGAAAGAGCGCTTAGAACAAAAAAATAGCATGGTATGTAGGGCTCGGAGCTATGGTGGCGCAGTGAAGAGAGCAGTCGCTTCCCACCAATATGGCCTGGGTTTAAATCCCGACGTCGGCGCCATAAGTGGGTTGAGTTTGTTGTTGGTTCTCTCCTTTGCTCCGAGAGGTTTTTCTCCGGGGACTCTGGTTTTTCTCCTCTCCCTTAAAACCCAACATTTACAAATTTCAATTCGAGCAGCAACGGTAGATGAACAACCTGCACTTTGGCGATGTGTTACCTTTAAATCGTCATTTGTGGGGCAGCGGAGATCTTGCTGGAAATAGTTTTAATGGCCAATAACTTTGACTAAAAGAACGAACGGACAAACTAACTAACTACTCTACTGGAAAACCAAGATTGGAGTGAATAAAATTACGAAGGCTCTAAACTTTGAACGTAAACCACTGTCTAAAATATATACATATCGGTAGATATGCATACGATATGTGGTAACATAAAAAAATGATAAACAAAAGGAAATTTTAATGTTTAATTCCAAATTTAAAGTATAGTACGTTTGTTTTTCAATAGAAAGGTATCCGTTCTCTGAATTAGTCAAAAGAAAATTCTTATATTTTGTTTTTTCATTTACAAAAAATGGGTCGAGTCAGCAATAGGAGAAGAAACACTCTGAGGTTGCGCTAGTAAATTATTGTTTTATTTAGCCTCCACTATATCACAAATCAGGGACGGGACAGTAATTATTTCCAAAATTCGACGTTTTTTTCCATAGCAATTAAGTGAAAACAGGTTACAAGAAAATCGTCTGTTATCGCTTTTAATTTTCTAGAGGGCAGCCATTATATTATTTTGACTATGAAAACATTGCTTCGAACAAGAAGAGTGATGATTCTTCGTCAAAAAAGTCTTTATTATTCATAAAGACCCGCACATTAGCACGCTAGGAATACCCATAGAGGGGAAACACTATTGTCTGCTTGCTTTTCAAATTCAAAATTCAAATATTTGTCTCAATTTTACTCCTGGTGAATGAGAGCTATTGTTGACCGTTTGTTGATGGATTCATCGAGCAAACTTTGAACAGTGAAAAAGGGCAATAAAAGATACAGTGTTAACGACAACACAATATTATTTCACTTATTTAAATGATAAGTGAATTTGGAGTAGGGGAAGAGAAAATACTCGACATTTCCCTCGTAAACATTGCCTGATTTTGTGATTTGCTTGTTGTTCTGATCATATTTTTTTAATTGTGCCGGATTGGCACGTCGAGCAAGTTTAAATATTTGTCAAGCATCATTTGTTATTCAGTTTGTAAGTAAACAAGTGACCGTAACTTTGCTCATTAAAGTTCTTTACGTACATACAAATAAATACAGTACCGCAGAAAGTAATCTCGGCACCTACTATTGTGTGGTTGAGTCTGTGAGCGGGAAACTAAAGCGAATCCTGCGTTCTGATTGGCTACCCGAGTGGATAAGATAGGCCCGTGTTGCCCGCTCGGGATTTCTCGCTTTGGCCCCGCAAGAGAAAGTTATTTTTTTGGCCATATAATAATTCCTTTTTTCGATAAAGCTTGTTCGGACAAGATGCTGTATATTGGCCAAGGTTTTCTGCGTATTTTATGACCACGACTTCGTCTTGGTTAATCAAAACACAAAATTCTTGGCCAACATCCAGCCATCTGCCGTTTGGTCAATAACGCATATTTAATATTTGTGCAATTCCCTCCGTGCTCCGCAAATGAAGTGACGTTTTCCGGTAAAAAGTCAAACAGGAGATGGGAAATCAGCAACTAACACATAAACAAAATAAAGAACGCAAAATAAAATAAAAAGCAATAACTATACTAAAAAGATTGCTTACATCTAAATCTTCTTTGCTGTGGTCGTCTACGTCAACTTCACCATTAGCAGTGACTTCCCACGTCGCTGAGGTTTTCAAAATTTTAATTTTAGTGAGCAGCACGATGCAACGCGAGTGCCTCGTTAACTCGTTTTATTTCTGCGACCGGTTTCGTCTGATCGATTATACAGGTTTAGCTTCTTCATAGAGTTTAACAGAATAGTGCTTAGGAACTAACTTTTATACCTTATGATTATGGTAAAATCACTTAGGACGTGATCAGCAAAACTAAATAGGACACCCACAAAATATGTCAGCGGAAAATGACTGCAGTGTTGCGTAGCAGAATGTGCAATGTTTAGTTGTGAAAGTCGAACTCGTACAAACAGTAACAAAGGAAAGTATTTCATTGCGGCTATCGGTCAAAATATAAACAGGGGCACCAAACGTCAATTTTCGGAATATATCTGTTCGGAAGACGATTTGAGATCTAGAATTTTCGGAACATTTTTTTGTAAAATTTCTTGCCTTCCTGCCTCTCCTAGGATTTTCGAACATCTAAAATATGGTATAATTGGCCATTTTTAACGGATTTTTACCCTATAAATGTCACTTAGAATTTTCGGGAGCCTTTTTTCTGGCTAACGTTTTCGAAAAGGTAAGTTTTGATCTCTATAATTTTCGGATCACTAGACTTTCAGCTAGGAAATCCGAACAGATGAAAATTTTTAGGGGATAAAAATATGCCTATATCTACCGTTTGAATACTAAAATACGTTTAACAGTGCTATGTTTAAGTGGTTTTGAACAATATTCTCGTTGGGTGCCCCTGATATAAAGTCACCCAAAAGGATTGTATCCCTAATTGTGCTTTTTGTCTATAATATTATGCAAAACAATATAAATTAAATAGGACTGATATAAGAATACAACAAATGGCGCGAACCAGATTTAGAATATAACTTAAATTAGCAGCATAACTTAACTAAAAAGATTACTCACATCTAAATCTTTTATGCTCTGTTCGCTTACGTCAACTTCACCATAAACATTAACACTGATGAATTCTCATACCACTGATGTTTTAACAAGGGCGTCTCTGTTTTACCGGAAATTTTCTGTCAAAACTGTAAAAAGTAAACGAAAAAGAATCGTTTCTGTTTTTTCTTAAATGTATGATTATCATTGCTTTTGTAAGCTGCTAAACATGTTGACAAATCTTGACGCTTGGGCGTTTGCAAAGTTTTTCACTTTAGTCATCTCATTTGAGATGGATCTCAACTTTAGCTCGGCCTTGTTACAAAAACACTGACCACTATTTTAAAAGCTAAAAGCTACTGAGCTCTATAATGATTGTGGCGGTGCTGGCTAGATTATTTGCCGTTAGTTTTTATAGAGCGAGTGAGGGTAACGAGAGAAGGCGAAAATAGGCTCGAGGCCCTTTCTCCAATGTACTCGCGCACACCTGCGTCTTCTAGCGAGATTTCTCCCTTTTTCCTAAACTGACGCGCCTGATACGCAAGGTATATTCTTCTTCGGGATCTCAGGGATGCGCTTACATTCAGAATTTTACGTGTCGTTGTTAGCGGAACACACGTATGACAGTATGGCCAGTACCCTGCCCACGTGCGACGTATTATTTTTTATTGCGGGCGACAAACGCAAACCTAATCTCCAGGTTGTTTTTGCGCATGCGTCGCATTTATGTAGCCAGCTTTCATTTGGACTTCAACTAATAATGAATGGAATGCAGATAATTCAATTTAATCACTCGCTTTTGGACCCTCTATGGCTCGTAATCTGATCGAGCGTGTTTTGACTATCTATCATGTGAAACTTACGCGAAGCACAGCGATGGAGAAAAAGCGTTTCGTTGTCGCCCGCACTCCGTAACCTTTGGTTATTACTAGTTTTACTAGAATCTTCTATCCAGTAGAAAACTTTATTGGCTTCCCTTCTGCTAATTCTCTGAGAAGAGCTTTCCAACATACTTTTGAAAGGCTGCAGGAGATTGGGACCCGTTTCTCGAAAGTCCCGATTAACGGACCCAAATCCAAACACTTAAAATCTAATCGCCAGTCCTGCAACAAAGCAGTCCATTCTATTTTTTAACCGATAGGCCGACAATAAAGTGAGCCCCTAATCCTGTCTGTATAAATCATTTATCCCCCACTAACGTAAATGAAAGACATACTTAACTGGCCGTAAAAAGTTCAAACTTCTGGCCATAAAGTATATTTATTGGAAACTGACAGGTTACCTCACTGTTCCTTGAGCAAAAGTAGAATTGTTCAAGAAAGAATGAGCTCCAATTAATCAGAGTGCCATTCTAATGTGTGAATAACAATAATAACTCCTTGTGGTTGTACCTTACTTGCAATCTACATGTACCACTGGTACCAGTCATTCAAATGCAACGGATGGAAGTTTTTAAAAAAATAGAGTTGTAACTCGGAGTTTCACGCACAAGCGATCATCATGTGTCAGTCATTTTTTCGGGGGAGCGCGAAATTGGATGGACAGACGGTCAACGAAATACACGTAAATAAACAGAAACGGGATGATCGCTTCGTTCCCCCCTGCCCCTGAGAACCCTTGAGTTCCCCGAGTTTCACTTGTGTGAGTCTTGATCCCAGTTTCCCCCTGCTTCCCAGTCGTAAAGGAGCGAGTACCGCGCAATTACAAAGTCCTGGGAACAAATAATATTTTTCAATATGGCGACCAAGTGTTGTACTCAGGCATGGTTGTTTTGTTCAGTGTTTTCAGCGATATCTTAAAGGTATGTAGTACTGTAATCCAGGTATTTTATAGATTAATGTAAGAGCCTGCCCCCCAAAAGCCGCCTACTTAAAGGTCGGCCGAAAATGGTATATTTCCCTCAAATGTTTTGTGGAAGACAATGGGTCCATTCTTTATCCTAATACAAAATCGTTTTTATTTAGCTCGTTGGACTTAAAGGCGCGTGTTTATTTCATGTTTTTCGTATTCATTAAGGTCAAAATGTTGAAGATTGGACTTAATGAAAGGGAATTATGATGTTTTGGATATACAGTATCTATACCTGCCAACTTTTTCTGAGATGTAGGCGTGAGATTTTCGGCAGGACTTTTCCGCGGGTGGCGGGTGGCGGGTGGCGGGTGGCGGGTAGCGGGTAGCGGGTGACGGGTGACGGGTGGCGGGTGGCGGGTTTCAAATATATATGAAAATAAAATATTATAATAAAATATTATTATTGATAATGATATAACTGTATGTTGTAATTTTAAAATAATTTCAACGTTTATGTACTAGCTACCAGACTCCAAATAAAAGTATTGTCTTGTTTTGTTTTATCTACTTACGCGGACTAAAAAGAAATCATGCCTGTGAAAACAGTCACCTCTCCTTGCTCCGCACCGCAAGTGACGTTTCGTCAGGCTACACGCGGTGTGTCAAATGAAAACGGACTATGTCAAGCAAGACACAGGGCACTTGTCGATCTTGTTTGTCTAGTTTGCTTTTTCTTCCACATCAAGACGAAAGATGATTGCACTTCCCCAACTGTTTAGCCGTGTTTATAACAGACTGCAAGAGATTCTATTATTATACACGATATCGCATGCACGAGATAGCTTGAGGAACTCATAAAAATTAAAGTAATATTTATCCTGCGACCAGACAAGTAAGATCGCATTCTCTTCTCGACATGTTTGAACAGTGTCTCAGATTTTTGACAAGTGCGTTTGTTCTTTTGTTATAAGTTGGGATAAACATTGCATTGCCCTTGGGATAAATCTTTGTCAATTTGGTTCCCGACTTGTAGTTTAAAATGAACAAAGTGTCTATTTCGAGAAAACAAGGAAATTTTCCTAAGACTAAAGCAACAAAGCTGTCAATGTTAATGCGTGCCAGAGAAGGAGCAAGAACGTTTTGGATACAGCATGGACCGTTTTCGCCGCATGTGGCGTCTCAGACGCGAATTGATCTCCTTGTATATATATACAAACAGGATCTGCATTTTTTAAATACTACTCAAAAATACCGATTAGGATGGCAATCATGCCG